GGCGCATAGGGAAATAATGGGAGAGGATGCGCCAACTGGGTTGGCTCCTCCCTTGTGGGATTTTCTGAAACATGGATATTTGCATAATTTTCTCCGAAACATGGTTATTTGCGGAAAAAATTTAATACATGGTTATTCCAAAAAAAAATTCATCAAAACTGAATTGCCCCAATCCAATCATTTATTAATTCAGTTAACTTAGCTTTGTGGATTGTGCATAAAATAAAATAAAAAGTTAGAATTGTTTATCTCAATTTTTTTAAATGAAATATAATCAAATGTAATTGTGCACATTTTCAACACTTAAATTGAATAAAATATATCATATAATATTTAATACTTTTTTTCATATCTTATAACATTTAATAGTAACAAATTTTACAAAATACATAATTTCCATAATATTTATAAGTTATAAATGATTTAAAAGAAAAGAAATAATATTTCATAATTTCTTTGATTAAATATTAATTTAATAACAATGGAGAATGAAAAATCAAGATAATGTTTTAAAAATCGAACCGAATCGGTCTACTGAATTGGAAACTGGAAAGGTCACCAATATGCTCTAATTATTGGACCAGATAAGCGGTACAACTAGCACGTGACATTCTTTTCTAGACACGGAATTCCTTGGGTTACCATAGGCAGAGGAGGAGTCAAGGTGTTTGGATTAGGCATATACAATAGAGTATGCATTGGATTGTATTTTGTTTAATTTTAATCGACTTTGTGAATAATTGTTGTACTTTTGAATTCGATTTCTATGATTTTTGGTTTTATTAAAGCTTTACATTGTTCTATAGTATTCATTTTTATTATTCGTTGAACCAAATAACGGAAAATTTAATCGATTACAAATTAGTTTCGATTGAAAACTCGATAAACTTAGAAAACAAATTCTGCCAAATAGACTCGGGCAACAATTCGGAGTTGCAATTCTGAATTCTGCCCACACATGGTTCAAAGATGCGAGCCCGGACCAATTTTCTTCAGAAAATGGGGGATTATTTGATTTTCTAAGGGCAAAATAAAATGGGGGATTGTTTGATTTTCTAAAGGCGAAAGGGGACTTCGGAATTGCATGTCCGAATTTCCCCTTGTGGTTGCTTCAAATACGCTTTTCCGAACTCAATTTTTTTTAAATCAATATTTGATGTGTTCGAAGATGCATCTCCAAACTCACTCTGGAGCATTTTTGAATTTTCAGAGGTGAAGTCCACTAAATAAAGGTGGGGAAGAAATTGCCAAAAAAAATCACTAATGTATAGTTACAACAGCTTGTCTAAAATATGTTGGTTCGAATCAGCGGGTAAACAAGTCGACCAACATCATAAACACCCCCAAAAACTAAGGTTTCATTAACAAATAACTTTCATGGCTTTAAATAAGAGAATTTCTTTCTACACCTCGTGCACTTTTTCAAGACCTCTGGCGAAATTTCCAAAATACCCCCAGAATTCAGAAGTGCATCTTTGATCGCACCACCAACGTGAATTATTAAATTTACTTCAGATATGCATATTCAAAGTCACCATATTTGATAAAAAATAGGTATGTTCGCGTATGCATATTCGAAGTCTGTTTATTTTGTAAAAAAAGTGACTTTGAGTGTGCATCTCCGAATTTACCCCAGAATTTAAAACATCGAAGATGCACATCCGAAGTTATTATGTTATTTGCAAAACAACAAACAAAACATACTCATTTATATTCAAACACAAAACCTTACTTTTCTACACCAAAACCCTTAATTTCTAATATCCAAACTTGAAACACTAATTAATTTTTACTCATCTCCCCCATTTCAAGTCATTTGAAGTTATTCCAACTCATCCCCAAAGCTTCAAGTTTGTGTAAGTTTTCTCCATTTCTATTCAATTCACTATGCAATGTTATAATAGTTGATTAGGTTAGTTAGAATCAATGACATTGTGTAGATTGTTGTTAGAATAGTTAAATTTAGGTGTTTGGGTGATAAAAAATTGTATTTGGATGATTGCAAGAAGAAGTTGCTTCTTGAAAATGGTTTTACAGGTGGTTTCAGAAGTGCACATCCAAAATCCCCTTGGACCAGTTTCGGATGTGCACATCCGAATTCTTGCCTGAGTATTATTTTTTAAATTAACCATTTAAATTAATTTTTCAGGATTATGGCGGACAACCAGGACGGGAACAATCGCTTGAGACAAGGGAGGCCAAGCCAAAATGCCACTGCTCTGAGAGAGAGAGTTGTGCAGCAGGTTATTAGGACTCGAGGACGGGGTCAGTTACAACGGGAGGAAGGGGCTAAAGGTTCTTCTTCTGTACCGAGGAGTCATCTGTCTCAGACATCTACCTCTCGCGCATATGAGTAGATACCAGATGAGGAGTTCCCAAGAGTTTGAGGTGCCCGAGGGGGATGAGGTTCCTGAGCATGTTGAGGTACCCGCAGAGGATATCGGCAATCTAGGAGGGCTTTACGAAACGTCTTTATTGATCTATTATAGTGATCATGACGTTCGTCATGTTTGAGATGAAGAGGTATTTTTTATTACACTTTTTCATTATATAGTTTTAGTCACAAATTTATAATTAACGGTTATAATTTTTTTGATTTCAAGAACGGTTTCCAATTAAGTTTGTGAATCACTCGTGGAAAATATTTGAGTTGTTTATACCTGTGGATGATTAGTTCCATGAAACCGTTGTTGGATTCAGACTTGGACTATGATGCACTGGTTACAGTACTATAAGCCACGAAATGTGGGGTGCATTTGTTGAGAGGTGGTACAAGGTGACGTTGTTTTTCCACTTTCCTGTTGGGGAGATAACATTCACACTTGATGACGTTGCTTGCTTGCTCCATCTACCTATCAGAGGGAGGTTACTTAACCATCACAAGATTACACAAGTTGAGGCGATTGAATGGATGATTGAGTATCTGGGTGTTGATCCATATAGGACAGTTGAGGACTGTATAACCACAAATGGGGTGCATGCAAAATTCGCACACCTGAAGGATCTATATGAGGAGCGCATGGTTGCAGCAGCAGCGGTCGAAGATGATTGTGATGAGGTTTTTGTCCAATACCACCAAGATTGTGCTTTAAGGTGTTACTTCATGTTTATGGTTGACACTTCCCTCTTTATGGACAAAAGTGCCTACTACGTAGATGTGACATACCTCTGGTATTTTATGGATCTGAGTACTGTTCATGAGTGGAATTGAGGAGCCGCCATTTTAGCATACATGTACCAGAAGCTGAATGAAACTTCAAGGTGAACACTGAGACAACTCACTAGTTCTTGTACACTCCTCACAGTGCCTTTCATTTCAACTTTTACCGTTAATTTGTTTATTAATTTGTAATTACATTTTCTATGCTTTCTGTTTCAGAGCTAGATAATCTCTCACTTCCACCGCATTCATGGTTTCGAGCCTGATCCGGGTTATACTAACGACATGCCAAAGGCTGTAAAGTATGTCCTCCACAGAGGGAATCATAAGGTGTCATCTTACCGTGTGTATCTTGATCGTACTAATCATGATGACATCAAATGGACGCCATTTGGGATTACAGGGATGTTGTCCTATTCGATCACATCCCATTATACCGAGATCTCCTTTTCAGACTGCTCCTGACACCATTGTCTGGCGGGATCTCGATGCCATCTTCCAGAATTGGGAGAATCATTTGGTGCCACAGAAGTATCAGATGATGCTGGCATCTGAGAGTTGACATTGTGTTGAGGGTTACGTGACATGGTTCTTTAATGTGCCACACCCTATCATGACACCGGATGGTCCTGGATGACTACCTAGGCCAGCTCATGAGGAGATCTTGGAGAACCAGCATGCCGAGGATGACCATGCCACTGATCTCTTGTCGGTCTGTCACCAGATACACCTACTCAGACAAGAGGCATTGAATTCTGGTATCATCGAGAGGGGTGGTGCTGAAGCGGTTGCCATAGTTGGGAGGATGGTTAGGGAGGCAGCTAGTGCGGCACAGTACAATTGGCAGAGGAGGTCACATGGGGTGAGGATCAGGCATATGCAGTAGCAGTAGTCTATGTTATGTATTGTTTCTTTGTAACTGATGTAATATATTTACATTAAGCACTTTCTGAATAACTGATGTATTAAATTATGTTTCCATATGTTTGAACATCTAATATAATCGTTATGTCCGAAATATTATGTTCATTTCATATTTTCGAAATAATTTGTCCGTTTATATGATAGGGGGGTAACTATTGTTGTAAACAAAAATGACACAAACAAAGGAAGTTTGGAGATACACTTTCGAAGTCACCTCAAGAATGTTTCGGATGTGCATCTCCGAAACTACCTTAGAAATTTCAAATACAACATTTATATTATAAAACCTGAAAAAATAATGTCTTCAGAGATACTAATCTAAAACATGCTGATAAGTGCGTTTGAAAGTGCATGCATTGCTTTTTGAGATAAAACTTGTGAGAAACCCTCTTAAATAAAGCTCATGCATTGCTTTTTGACTCAATTTCTTTTTTTTTTATACCCATCTCAATTCTGGAAAAAAAAATTACTTACAACTTACAAGATAAAACTTAAAACAGGAAATTAGATATAGAAATATTGAGTTCGAGGACAACTAAATCACTCGACTCCGAGGAAAGTTGCCTTTAATACAAATTCCACTTACCGAAAGTTGCCTTTAATACAAATTCATTTCTTGAGTTCATCAAAATGCTAATCTATAATTAAATGCCAATTTCACTTACCGAAAGTTAGAAGTTTAGAGCCAAATTATAATTCTCTGATTTCTAAACATAAAGTCAAATAAAACCACCCATTATATTTTCCAGATAAACACAAACAGTGAAATTGCTTCACAAAAGTTCCAAACGATAATCCTCTATCTGGAGACTCACATGCAACCTCCTAACAACAAACCCCATGTTACATACAAACAAGGGAGAGTGGTGACTAAGACATTGGCAGCATTTTTTTTCCTTAAAATGTTTCAAATTTGTCAAAAGTCATAATAGTTAACATCAAATTCAAATTCAGAAAATTCACTCCCATCTGAGAGTTCATAATCATCCTCCGACAATAAATCTAAATCTATGTCTGAGATCCCATCTGGATAGTCCTCTTCAGGATAGTCTTCAGTTTGAAATGGATAGTCATCAGTTGCATCATTTGGAAGGCGTAAATACTTGATCTGTTCTTTACATCTCTTTGCCAAACTTCCTTCCAAATTAATATTGAAGCACTGACGGATGTCAAGAGATTCAAGTTGAGGACAGTCGTCAAGAATAGCAAGCAAACCATCATTAGTCATCTTGTTTCCAATAAGCTGGAGATGGCATAACCCAGGCATGAATTGCGCAATAGCAAATGCGTCATCGTCATACTCAATATGTGGATATATGTATGCTTGAATGTTGAATTTAAAGGTTTTCAATTGAGGGCAACATCGGCCAATGACTTCCAAAGATTCATGAGATAAGCAGCCACTAATTGATATATCAAGTTCCTCTAAGTGAGAAAGCTTTTCAGCAAGTAAACACAATCCTCCATCTGTTACACTATAGCAACAGGCAAGACGAAGGCGTCGTAGATGACTTGCACTGTAAAATACCAAGACAACAAGAGGAAAGACGGTTACACAGATGCAACCAAAAATATCTGTGGTGACTTTAAATAACTATCTAAGAATGTCAAATCAAGCATTACTAGAGAATAATAAAGAAACTAAAAAACGGTTATGAATTAAAAAACGAAAATGTAGATGAAAGTGGAACATACGAATTAGCAATGTAAGAAAGAAGATCGTCGGTGCCAAAATACTCGATGTTGATATCAATTGCATCGCCGCAGCTGTAATCAATGGCGCGGTGACGTAAAACCTCTAATTCGGAGCCGGTTTCAAGGTCGCCCAAATTGGGCATGTTAATGGTGCGATAGAGGAAGGGGTCTTTCGAGATATTGCGCCATGTGGTGCAAACATTGTGAGCGCGAACAAGAAGATCGGTTGTGTCAAGTTTCACAAAAATGGACAAAACCGCATCTCGTGGAAGATCAAGCCAATTTCGTTCTCCGGAATCGATTGCTGCATTTGAATTCGATGAAGAAGAAGAAGAAAATGAGGGTGGTTGTAACGACTCCATTGAAGAATTAGGAGAATTAGGGTTTCAGATTGTGATGGTGATGATCACGTTTCACAAATTTAAGAGAGAGAGAGAGAGAGAGGGAAATTGATCCCTTGCAGTCAGTATTTAGCCAGCCAATCACACAGTAAAAGAATCTATAGCAGTTTGATCTTAATCACACAGTTTATAGAAACTACTTTGTTTTTTATTTTATAATTCAAATTTAAATCAGAATCACTAGATCACTATCAGATGGTTAGAAATGACTGACTGTGTGACTGCAGTAAACAACTGCAGCAAATCACAGTCCAAGAAAGAAAGAGTATTTTTTCTTGACACCCAAAATTATCCTTGCACCCTATATTTTTATATTGATAAAAAAATTTTTTTTTATTATTTATCTATCTAAAAATTATATTTAGTTAAAAAAATTTACTTTAGTAAAATAACTTATAGTTATAATAAAATATGTAATACAAAAATTCTAGGGTGAAAGAGGTGTTGTTGGAACAATCTTTGGGTTGCAATTTCCAAGTTAGCAATAATCAACTGGAATATGAAGTTCTAATAGCATGAATGAAACTTTCTTATGAAGTAGGACTTACCCACCTTCGAGTCAGGAGTAACTCTCAATTAGTCATTAATTAGGTACGGGGAGATTATCGAACGAAAGAGACATTACTGGAAAGATACATGCACTAAATGTTTAAGATGTCGAAAATTTCGAGACATTCAAACTAGTTCATGTTCTCCAAGAAGAAAATGTTTGGGCAGATCTATTGGCAAGGCTGGCCAGCACTAAAAAAAATTAGATCTAAACATGATAATGATACAAAAGATTCTCAACAACACAAGTACGAAGGCCAAAGAGGTTGCAATGATTGAGAGCGACGGAAGTTGGATGACTTGTATCATCGACTACTTGAAAAAGGAGCATTTGCCAAAAGAAGAAATGGAGGCCAATAAGATACGAAGTCTCACTGCTTGATATGTTATGGTAGCGGTGTCATGGTAGTGGGCAGACTTTACAAAATGGGAAGATCAACACCCATGCTAAGATGTTTTGCAAAAGATGAAGTAAGTTTGATTTTAGCCTAGGTATTGTGGAAGTATTATAGGAGAAAGCGATTTAGCAAGCAAACTTCTAAGGATTGGGTACTACTAGTCGGAGATGCTTAGGGATAACACCAGATTCATTAATCAGTGCGATCAATGCCAAAGATATGCGTCTTTCACCCGTACTCCTATTGGACCGTTGGATTCAGTTATCTCATTGCGCACATTTTACAAATGGGGGTGGACATATTGGGTCCGTTTCTGGTAGCACCGAGACAACTAAAAATCATATTGGTTGGGGTAGACTAGTTTACCAAATGGGTAGAATTAGAAGCAATATCTAGGATAACTGAGGAGAGAGTCAGGCACTTTTATTGGAAGAACATCATCTGTCATTTTTGCCTACCCAGAGCCACCGCTTTCGATAATGGATCCCAATTCGCATGCTCGACCGTGGCAAAATTTTATTCAAATTTGGGGATCCAGACAAAGTTCAAATCAGTCGAGCATCCCCGAACCAATGGACAAGCAGAAGTCTCCAACAAAGTCGTATTGTCAGGTATGAAGAAGAAATTGGACAAAGCCAAGGGGTTATGGGCTAAACATCTTTACGAAGTGTTGTGGTCATACAACACAACCCCATATTCCTCAACTAAAGAAACTTCATTCAAGATGGTTTACGAATTCGACACCATGTTGCTGGTAGAAATCAATACTCCTACATTACAGATATATCACTTTAATAAAAAAGATAACCAATAAGAAATAAGAAATGCATCTAATTTTATTGAAGAAGTCTAAGAAATAGCTCACATTTAGGAATACACATTGAAGCAAAGGGCGGAAAAGAGGTATAACATGAAGGTACTATTGAAGGCGATGGAAAAGGGAGGTCTAATTTTAAAGAAGGTAGTGGACCTGTCCAATAAAGGAAAACTACAATATAATTAGAAAGGACCATACAAAATACTTCTGGAGTTGTCACATGGGGCGTACAGGCTCAAAAGCCTAGAAGGAGTGGAAGTTCCCCGAACGTGGAATACGATGAGCTTAAGGAATTTGATTGTACCTGATCAGAAGGGATTGTCAAAGCCCACAAGCTTCAAGTCGAGCGACAAATGAATGTGAAGTGGGGGGATACTTGCAAGACACTCTGATGCCAAAGTAACATTTAGAGAAAATGCAAGCAAGTATGAGAGTGAATGAATGATTGAATGAATACCTGAACCTCTCAAGTGACAGGGTATTTATAGCTCCCAGCGTTGGGCCAAGATCTTCAGTGATGGGCCACGATGAGGCTCAATAATAAAGACTGTCAAGATTTACGGGTGTATGGAGTCCAGCACGTGGCCTCCACCCTGGTCAACTGCCCCAAGAAAGTAAGGAAGTTGGACCTAATATTCTCGGAGGACATGATGATGATATGGACACGTGAATTATGTTCTCCTACTAGACACGTAGGGAAATGCCCAACGGTCCTCAGTTTGGGTTGCATGCTTTTGGGCCTTGGTAAAGGTGCTGGATTGGGCCTCCCCAACAGTGGGGCAAGTGTCGGCCCAGTCCAAAACAAAATCCCCCAAGTTATTGCCCTTAGGTGAAAGAGTGATGACTTGAGTTCAACTCAGTTGTTGGGGAAGTGTTGCTCGAGAGGGGAAATTGACAACTCTCATTGGGGATGGCTCATTGACCCATGTCGATGATTCGGAAAATATGTGTGCGGTGTGGTCGACCAACTCACAGGGCAGTTCATTGGTCGACTTTGGGTTCTGATCATGTCAACATGGTGTCTGTCAGGGATCTAGAATCATGGGGCGCAAGGAGTTTCCCCGAGTGTTCGTCTTCGAGGTGCCCATCTATAAGGCATTGCAATGGTGTCGAGCGTTTAACTGCAACAAGGAGTGAAGCATCATAAATGTGCCCGTATACAAGGCTTTGTCATGACATCGCACGTGTGCCCTCCCTCGAGAGTGAAACGTCATCAATGTGACCGTATATAAGGCTTTGTCATGACGTCACGCGTGTTCCCCCCATCGAGAGTTGAACATCATCAAGGTGCCCGTGTACAAGGCTTTGTAACAATGTCGGGCGTGTGTCCATCGTCAAGAATGGTGTGATGCGGGTACGTGGTTTTGTGTGAGATCACTGTGGGTAATGTGTCCTCTTGTTAACCCCACGTGGCAGCTGTTTGGGGGTGCCATCTTTTTATAGGGGAGTCTAAAAGCCCAAGTAATGACTTTTTGCGTGCTGCCTCGTGAGGTGTAAACTATCTATAAAAAGGGGAATCCAAAGGCTCATTTTTCATTTTCAAGTTCTCTTCTCCTCTCTCCTACGTATGCCCGTGGATCTGCTCTGCTCCAATGCCACCATAGACGTCTTCAAAGATAATCTTCTTCCAAGTAAGCTATATCTTCTTCATAACGCTTTTTCTTAGATTTTTTAGATTAAACACTTGGGTTTTGTCATGAACGGACGAATCTCTGGATGAAGATTCATGGGTTCTGAAATGAATCTTCATGGATGATCATCAAAGTTCATGGTTGTGGATGAAGATTCATAGGTCTAATTTTATTGACTCGTGTCGGGGTCATCCCCCCCGAATAGTGGGGAGGATTTAGGCAATTTTGCTTGTTCGGCCAAACGTCCACACACTGTGTGTTGTTCATTCTGGTGTTGGCTGTCAAGGGCTTGGGTCAAGGTCCATTCCTCGATGTATTCATCGCCCTTTCACATGATTTTTGGTGGAAGGGTGAATTTGATGATGTCGAATTCACTGTTTTCCCCTGCTTTTCAGGTATGATGGCACACCAAGTCGAGGAATACGTCATTCTCGACACTCTCGAGGATGATACTACTGTCACAAATGAACCTTTGGCTTGGGTCACGCCCGAACCTCAGAATAAAAAGTTATGTTTTTCACAAGACACTTTTGACGCGTTCGATGTCCCCGAGGTCCAAGCAGAGGGTGCTCCTGCCAATTGGGTTCTTTAAATCCCTCACCGAAACAGGAGGATATGCTCGACATTCTCGAGAAAACGTTTTCCTACGTATGAGTTTACTTTTGAGGAAGCGGGATGCGTTTTCCATTCAACGACTTACAGGTGGGGGTCTTTCAATGGTTACAACTGACACCTTCCCAGCTTCATCTGAATACGCTCGCATTTATGCATGCATTCGAGCTTGTATGCTAGTGTTTACCGTTGTTTTTGGTAAACAACCGTTGATCCTCCAAAAAGGGGAGTCCTTTTGGTTACTCGCGGGATCGATCAGATTGATCCCAAAATATATGCTAATTTTTTATACTGGGTTGATATAAGTAAGAAAAGAAATCTAGGAAGAACGCACGTTCGACCGGAGACAAGGTACTTGAGGTTTTGGAAAATAATAAAGTAAATATAAATGTAGAAATGCAGGTAAAGATGCAAGAAAGGTAACTTTGCAGAATAAGATTAAAGCAATGTAAAAGAATTTTATTAATGAAAAGAGGTGTTTCCAACGTACATTTCTCAATTTATCCTTTCTTACATAGCGGGTACTTGGACAATATTTGAGTAACTAGTACAATAGGTTGAACCCCCTGAAAAACTACACAGATTTCCTAATTTATACTAAAACTATGTAACCGTCGAGGGGTGGTTCTGCGCTAAGATGAAGACAAGTGTCCTCTACATGTCCCTCGACCTCTAGCTTCCAGCCACGTTGCTTTCCTTTAGCCACTGGCGAAACTTTCTTTCCCTCCAATAATTCAAATTCAAATTCAAACGTCCCTTGCCTTTTACTGTCGGTGCAAAGATATTTTCTTCTAGTCGAAGGTCACCAGACTTTCTCCGTCGAAATCTTGAAAGTGAGTCCTGGTCAAAGACTTAAATATAACTTAGATTCTTTTCTCTAAGTCATCCCACACGTCGAAACATTCTTCAGCTTGGTTTTATTTATTCCAGTTTTGGTCTAGAAGACCAAATATA